TTACAGTCATGTTCCATGGAGAGTCTAGGAGAGAAAAGAGAAGCCAATCTCTTTCAGAGCAAGGGAGAGTGGACGTTGGCCCTTGATCCCCGTAGGCTGCAGCAACAGGGAAGAGACGGAGGCAGAAAATGTCCTGGACTCTTCTCATCCAGACTCTCCAGGACTTGCGTTCCAATTTCCAGAGCCCAGATTCCTCCAAGTTCTGTGGCCTTTGAGGCCCCCTCATCAGAGGTCCAGGAAGCTCAGTGGCCTAGTGGTAACGAGCTGCACTGACAACTCAAAGACACACAGTTCAAATGCACCCGTTGCTCCACGGCAGAATCTCCACCCACCTGATTCACTGCTTCTGAAAAGCTACAGAGTCAGTTATAGGTCAGTTACCGGGTACATGGAACTTGTGGTAAAGAACTACACGGTTAACCCAAAGGTATGCAGTTTGAAGCTACCAGCTGCTCTGTGAGTGAAAGACGGGCAGTTTCTTCCTGTGCAATTTACTGTCCCTGAAAACCTGCTGGAGGGTCAGCTACGAGTCAGTACCAACTTGACAAGGTTCAACAAGATCTGAGAGCCCAGTATCTCCCTCAGTGCTCACAAGACACGTGGGGCTGCTGGTCATCTGAGTGGTCACACCTGCGGAAGGGAAGTTCACCAACAGGTGAGTCTGGTGCAATGCTCCTGGGGCCATGGGGTGGGGGTCAGCACTGAGGAGAGGGAGATTGTGGGGCCTTGGAGGAAGACAGAGGCTCGCACCCAGGAGAAGGGGGTGTTCCCTGCTCATAGGCCCAGGGCACACTGCATCTCAAGGTACTAGGGTGGCCAGACTCCAAGGTCTCTCAGATCTGGATGAAGGATTTCCGGATCAGTGCTGGTGGGAAGGACATTGACGGTCGAGAAAGAAGGACTCAGAGATATGGCCCTGAGATGTATGCCTCAGTCTCTGACACACAGCCTTCCCTTGATTCATGCAAACATTACCACCCCAGCCATGCCTTGAGGCCCATAACCTTCTTCTGTGACCTATGCTGGCGTCAGCTCCTTACCTGTAACATTCACAGACAGCTCAGGTAATAGGTAAGTATATTTCAGTCTTCCTCTCTCCAACCGAAAAAAGTAAGACCCAGCGTCCTTCATCCTGACGTCTCTGATGTCTAAGGAGCAGTTGTTCTCCCGGAGATCTCCAAGGAGGAGGAATCGGCCCCGGGTCTCCTTCTGGACTTTAACACCTGGCAGGTTTGTAGCCACTGGAAGATCTTGGAGTACATGAGCGCCTTTCCGGAACCAGAAGCCATAAGCTGGGTCCGAGTCGATCCAGTCCTTCCTGGGGTACTTGACTGTGCAGGGCACGTGGAGATGCAAGCCGGCCTGTACTGTCTGTGGGCTCTGCACTTGAAGACGGAACTCATTCCCATGCTCCCTTGCCTGGCCCTCAGCTCTGTCCCTTCCCAGAAGCAGGGGCAGCAGCAGCAACAGCATATCTGGAAACCAAAGTCTCGCCTTGAAAAATAACTTGTTTCTCAAGTTTTGTCTCTTTGGGAACGAAGAGCTGCAAGATTTAGATTCAGAAGCAGCCCCAACAGGAAATTGGAGGCCAAGAAAGACTGCCCACAGGTACCTCCCTGTCCTCAGAACAGGAACCTCAGACTCAGATGTTGTCAGGGCCGGTCAGCAATTGGAGACCAACCATCATTGCCCCACATCCCCTCCTGGGACTCTGAGGCAGAAGAGGGCGAGAGACATGGCCAAGTTCACATCCAACGCAGCGTCTGCTCGCCATTTCTGACTTTTCTGTTCACATTTCCCCCTCAGGGGTCAGGTCTACAGTGTGAAATCAAGATCCCATCTGGCGTGACCCCATTGCGTCATTCTAGGGGTTTGCAGAGATCATTCCTTCCAAAATTCCTCCCAGGAGAGAGCTGAGATTAAGCACGGAAAGGATCAGATGACCAACTGAGTTAAGGAAGTAACCTCCCCTCCCTCTCTATCTCCCTTCCTATGATGAACAAGGTCACCATGAAGCACCTACGGATGTCCTCCAGCACTCATCATGCAACAGATCACTTCTCTCCCGGCATCACTATGTCTTCCAACAGGGGCACTGATGGGGGACACACAGGCAGGAATGTGGCCATTAGCACCAGGGTAGAGATTTCATTATCAGCAAAATAGGACAGAAGTCCCTCTGGGCGTCAGTGGAGGTGGAAACTTCCTGTATTCCTTGAAACCAAGGTTTGTACAGGAGACTCTCTGTCTCAAGGAGTCCGAACAATTGAAGCTGAGGTGATTTGTACAAGAAATTTTGTTGAGGAAAGAGTAGAAAAGGGAAAAGACTCATTTGGAAAACAGATTCTCTTTTTTTTTTTTCTTGACCATCTGAGGGTTAGGATTGACCTCTTCTGAGCTGCCACCTAATTGGTCACCCTCCTCATTATTCCAGAACGTAACAAGGGCTATGCAGACCCTGCAGCTCCCGAGAGTCTTTGGAGATCAAAAAGGAGCCTAGCCATGGAGGTGACTCCTCGTAATGATTTAGATGCAGGAGAAACGGGCCTCTGAAGGTGGAGACGATTACTTAGAGGTGCAGTGAGGCTCTAACAGGGAAGTACGGAGCTCTGAACAGAAAGCTGGCCCGTTCTCTCCCACGGTGAGGTATCTGGGGAGAAAGAGGTCAGTCATCTTCTGTTACGTTAGCCCACTGCTGTCTGGTCTATTCTGACCATGCGTGAGCCTATAAGACACAGGAGAACTGCCCCATCTAGAGCTTCCAAGACTGGACATCTTTAAGAAAGCAGACTGTTCTGTCTTCTGTGGAAGGTTGGTGGGTTTGAATAGTCCCTTCTGAGTTCCCAGCTGAGGGTTTAACCACTGTGCCATCATCAGGGCTCCGTAGATACATAAGTAAGAAAGTACAAATGGGGAACGATCGATGCTCAGTGAAGATTACCAAGGAACTGAGGAAGAAAGGATAAACAGACAAGTCCTTCTCCCCTCAATGGACAGAGAAAGTGTCCTCCTAGCCTCTTCTCTGATGTCAGACTTCTGGCCTCCAAATCAATGAGAAAAAGAAATGTATTTGTTAAAGCCGTACTCTTCCCCCCCTCCCCAGCCCCACCTAAAGCCATACTCTTGAAGTGTTTCTATTGGAAGAACACTAAGATACCAGCATCTCTGTTGTCAACAGGGCTGGACTATGTCTCTCTGTTTCCTGAGGCCCGTGGTTTGCAAAGAAAAACAGAAGAGTGGATGGAAGATGGTAGAGAAACACACATAAAAGCTAATGGGTCAGAAGAGGAATTTAATTAACATCACAGACCACTAATGCAGAAGTTCTTAGTCTCTCTCTCACTTCTTCAATCTGCAGAAGGTGCTGAGGTCCAGGGTGGAAAAATGACTGACCCTAATACAGTGTCCTGTCTCATGTATCACGAACTGTGCCCCACTGGCCTTCTGTCTGTCCAGTATTCACCGAGGTGGGAGAGGAATAGCTTATTACGATCATTAGAGTGGAAAGACTATTCTCTCCATGTGATAGAGGAAGAAGAAAATCTGTTCACAGCGCCTACTTCAGTGCAGGAGTGAATATGACAGTTCTACGCCTCGTCTCAGGGGCAAACAGCAAAACGCAAAAAAGTTAGGACACAGACAAAACGCAGGACAATTTCTGATGCCATACAGGAGACGCTGTGGTGATGGGAACACGGGAGGGGGCTGGAAAGAGCTCTTGTCATTCTGCACCAAGAGATGAAGTCTCAGAAAGAAATGGGCAGAAGGGGTGGAGTTCTCTTAAAAGGTAATCATGAGGGACACAGCTTCTGTAAGTGACTGGAGGTCCGACAGAAACATTCCACTCACTCTCTCCCTGAACTGAGGACCCTCAATAGACACTAAGTCCCACTGCTTGCACGTGACTAACACTGCCCTTACTCCAACAAGGGTGTTGGCAAAGATCATTGAAGGTACCTCTTTTGCCTAAGATTGTTATTGTTAGTGCCATCCAGTCAACTAAAACTCATAGCAATCCTATGTCCAATAGCTCTGCCCTCTGTCCTATCTTGAATCTCACTGTCCATGACGCACCTACCCACATTATCTCAGTTACTGTGTCGATCCATCTCATCCAGGTTCTTCCTCTCCTGCACTGTCCCTTCACCCTTCCAAGCATGATGTCCTTCTCCAAGGACTAGTCCCTCTCAGCCAGCCACACGGCCAAAGTATATGAGATAGAGCTTCAAAAGCCTTGCCTCCAAGGAGCAACTTGGATGCATCCTCTACAGAAAAGACTTGTTTGTTCTCTTGGCAGTTCATGGTGTGTTCAAGTTCAAGACTCTTCTCCAGCACCACTACTCAAAGACATCAATTCTTCTGTCATCCTTAGTCATTGCCCAGCTTTCTGCTTCACAGCAAGTAATTGTGAAGACCCTGGACTAGACCAGGCGCACCTCAGTCTTTCTGTTATTAGCTGCTATGGACTCAGACCACAAATGATGGAGACCCCTAGTCCTGCACCATCTCTGTCATTGGTTGTAGCTTCAGCTATTGTGATCCACCGTAGAGTTTTCATTGGTTGATTTTCTATCACCAGATCTCTCTTCCTAGTTCATCTTAATCTGAAAACTCCACTGAAACAAGTTCATCATCAGAAAAATGAACAAGCCTCCACTAAGGAATTGGTGATGGTTATGCACGAAGTCCACTGGCCAAGACTAGAATTCAGATTGTACTTTGGCTTCTGGACCTCCCGGCAGTGGTTCTAGTGCTGTTTGTGGTTCTGAAAAAGAATTGAGTCCTGACTTTGGTAATGTCTGTATGGCAATGGAAGGGTCTGATGGCACAGTAAAAAGATCTCTAGTGCTGTGCGTGCTTGCGCCTCATCTACTTTGGGCATGCTGCTAGGAGGTGCTATTCCTTGAAGAAGGACATGATGTTAGGAAGGATGGAGGGTTGGCAAAGAAGAAGACCTTCAGTGAGGTGGATTGAGATGGTGACTGCTGCAGTGGGCTCTTGAGTGTCAGGAGGACAGAACAGGGTTCAGACCTTCTGTTCATAGGGTTGCTATGAGTCATACTCAAATCAAAGACACCTAACAACTGCAGCAACTAACAGTGCTACGTTAGGGAGCTCAGATAGCCTAGAGCAGGAGGGATATTATGTTGCCAACCAAAGGCAAGCAGCTTGAATCCCTCAGCTTCCAAGCAGGGCAAAGATGGGCAACCTCCTCTCATGCAATTTACAGGCTCCGAAGACCCATTGGAACACAGGGTACAGTACAGGCCAGTACAGTACAGTACTGGGCTCACCAGACTCTAAGATATCCAGGATCTGGATATAGGGTTTCCGTGTCAACTCTGATGGGAAAAGAGGAGATTCAGGGCCAGGAGGAGGGAGTTCTGAGATGCGTCTCACAGGCTCTTATGAGCTCCTCCCCATATCAAGTCCCACACATTTTACCTCAAACCTTTTCCTTATGAGCTTGAACCCCTCATTCTCCTCTGTGAGTGCTGAGGAATGTTCCTGATTTGTTACACATGCACAGAGAGCAGGTTAGATGTGTAAATCCATCTCATTCTTCCTCTTTCCACCTGCAAAAATGTAAGACCCACTGTCCCTCATCCTGCTGTCTCTGATGTCCAGGGAGCGCTTGTACTTCTGGGGATCTCCAAGAAGGCGGAATTGGCCCAGCATCTCCTCTTGCACTTCTCTATTTGGGTTGTTTGTGGCCACCGGAGCATCTTGGTTTACAGTTGCCACTTTCTGGAACAATAGCCATGAAGCACAAAGGATCTATTTTAAAAAATTACTAAATGTTACTACAAGAAACAAAAAGAGACCTGGAGAAGTGGAAAAATGTCCCTTGCTCATGGATAGGAAGCCTCAATATTGTGAAAATGGCAATACTACCAAAGGTAATTTACACATTTAATGCAATCCCAATACAAATACCAATCCCATTCTTCAACGAGATGGAAAAGGCAATCTCCAGTTTCGTTTGGAATGGAAAGAAGCTCTGAATAAGCAAAGCACTCCTTAAAAATAGAAGAAAGGTAGGAGGCATCTCACTCCCTGATTTAAAATCCTGCTACACTGCCATGGTGGTTAAGACAGAATGGTACTGGTACAATGAGAGACACATAGATCAATGGAATAGAATTGAGAACCCAGAGATCAGCCCATCTATCTATGGTCAACAGATTTTTGACAAGGAGATGAAATCAGTTAAGTGGGGAAACGACCACCTTTTTAACAAATGGTGTTGGCAAAATTGGAAAAGTATCTGTAAAAGACTCAAGTGAGATCCCCACCTCACTCCATACACAAAAACCAACTCAAGATGGACCATGGACCTAGGACTAAAACCAAGGACTATAAACTTCATTAAAGAAAAGCTTGGAAGAACTCTAGAAGTCCTAATCCACAACATAAACAGTCTTCCAAGTATCCTGAAAAACCTACAACCGGGAGAAGATAAAATAGATGAG